CACACACGCACATGCATGCACACACACACACACACACACACACACACACAATGGAATATTATTCGGCCTTTAAAAAAGAAAAGAAGGGCCCAGCCCGGGTGGCTCAGTGGTTGAGCATCAATCCATGCACTAAGAAGTCACCAGTTCAATTCCCGGTCAGGTCACATGCCCAGGTTGTGGGCCCAATCCCCAGGGGGGGCATGCAGGAGGCGGCCAATCTATGTTCTCTCTCATTGATGTTTCTATCTCTCTCTTCCTCTCCCTTTCTCTCTAAAATCAATAAAGAAAAAACAATTTTTTAAAAAAAGAAGGAAATCCTGCCATTTACAACAACATGGATGAACCATGCTGTAAATGTATGCTAAGTGAAATAAGCCAGACACAGAAGGACACATGCTACATTATACCCCTTACATGAGGAATTTAAAATAGATTTGCAAAGCAAAGAGTAAAATTGTGGTTTCCAGGGGCTGAGAGAAGGGGAAATTGGGTGATATTAGTCAAAAAGTACAGTTTCAGTTATACAAAATGAATAAATCCTAGAGATCTACTGTACAGTATGATGCCTATAGTTAGCTATACTGTTTATATACTTAAAATGTGCTAAGAGAATACATCTTGCTAAAAGAACACTTAGTTAAGTGTTCTTACCATAAAATAATAACATTATTATATTAATATAATTAAAGAAAGTGGGAGGAAATCTAGGAGGTGATGAATATGAATATGGCATAGATCTCCAAATACATCAAGTTGTAGACATTAAATATGTACAGATTTTGGCATATCATTCACAACTCAATAAAGTGGGTTGAAAAATAAAATGCAACTTAAAAAATAAAAATATAAATTAATTAATTAGAAAAATACACAATAATTTACTACTTTTATAGGCAATATTTATTTAATCTAACTGAAATATACTAACATAAAATAATGATATATCTCCTTATTAATGTGGCTAGAGATAATTTAATTCTAAATTAGAATCCTGAAGTCAACTTAAATAATAGTTTTTCCAGAAACATTGTTGTTAATTTTCTAAAAATAATTTTAAAAATGCTTAAACCCATCCTTGGCTGGGAAGTTCGTTAGAAGTAGTATCATCCGAATATACCAAGGTTGGGGGCTCATACAAGCAACAACCAATGAATACATTAATAAGTGGACCAGCAATGGATGTTTCTCTCTCTCTCTCTCTCTCTCTCTCTCTCTCTCTCTCTCTTTCTCTCTCTCTCCCCCCCCACGCAAATCAATAAATAAAAATAAAAACACTTAAATCCCTAAGTGTCTTAAGTATACTTCCAATACCCACAGTATAGGTGTGTAGTTGGTTTTTCCAACAAGATTTTATATTTATTAGAGAAAGGAGCTATGTCTCATTTCTTATGATTATTTTACCCACTACTATGACTAGCACAGTAAATACTTACTAGGCTAGATTAGAGACATAACCACAAAAACTTACTGGTTATCAAAGGTTTAAAGATCTAAATTCTCACATGCATTATATAAAGTATAAGTGCTATAAACATAGGAGGTCCCAGAAATGAGAAAACATCCATTTTTTTAAGTGCACAAAGGAGGATTAAAGAATGTGATGAGTCTTGATTAAGCTTTGAAACTTAGATAAACAAAAAAGATGAGACAGGATATTCTTGATAAAATGGACAATGTGTGGAACAATAAAGATGGTTAAAGCATTCTGAGAGAACAATTAAAAGAGGTACATCTGAAAAAAAATGGAGAAGGTTTGTGTTGGGTTAGTGAAGACTGCAAGTAAGTTAAGGCTGTATTATGGAAGAAGGATGAATTCTGACAGACTGAGTCATTCATTCAACAGTGTAAGTATCAAACACTGGTAGCTTCCCAAGTTGTGGACAAAAGATGTACAGTTCTTGACTTCACGGAGTTTTTAGTGCAGTAGGACACATAAGCATTAATCAAATAAACCACACAACTAAGTGTATAAATAACACACTGTGGTTAGTCCCAGGGAGGAAAAGCATAGACTGCTGTGAAATGGCTTAGCAGGGGGAAGGAGAAACAAGGGAAAGTTTCCCAAAGGAAGTTACACTCAGCAGAGCCAGCATTACCCAGACAAAGGGCAGAGGGAGTGGGGAGGAAGGGGAGGTGGAAGGCATCACAAGGGTAGAAAAAGGGCATGTTTGAGAATTAAGAACAGAACAGTAAGAAAAAGTGACCTCAGGTGAGGCTGGGGAGGTAAGAAGAGTCAGCTCTTTCCTGCCTTGAAAGTCAGAAGAGATCACGGCCTTTTACTAAGAGCAAAGGGAGGACATGGAAGGCTTTAAATAGGAAGCAATGTGTTGGGTTTGTGTGTTTATCATTATTCTGTCAGCAATGGGAGATAGATGGGAGACAGGTGAAAGAGGAGGAGAGACCATTAGAAAGCTACTCGGGTTTTCCAGGTGAGTGAGTGATTGGTTGGCCGAGGATGTCAGTGAAGGAGACAGAGTTGGACAAGATTCCACCAACATTTAGAAAATAAAGTTGCCATGGCTTGATGATGGAGTAGACTTGAAAGTTGAAGGATGAGAGGTGCTAAAGACAAGAGCTCTCTGGTCCAACTGATGTGGCTCAGTGGTTGAGTGTCGACCCGTGCTTCAAGAGGCCACTGGTTTGATTCCCAGTCCAGACACATGCGCAGGATGGGGGCCTGATCCCCAGTGGGTGGCATGCAGGAGGCGGCTAATCGATGTTCTCTCTCTCTCCCTCTTACTTCCTCTCTCTCTAAAAATCAATAACAGAAAAAAAAAAAATGTTAAGACAAGAGCTCTCTGACTGCAGTTTGATAGACAATGGTGGGACTTCCTGGGAGAGAGAGGGCAGAGGAGAACCAGTTCCGCTTCAGACATACTGAGGTTTAAGGTCCTGTGAAACATCCATGGGAATGTGTCAAGCAGGCAGTGAAGTGCGCAGAGTTTAACCCAGAGGATAGACTAGACGAGATCAAAGTGATGAGGCACATCACGTATAAAAGGCGATGAACGAGCCTGGCTGGGGAGAGGACCTGGAGTGAAGAAACTAGTCTGCCTTGCCTTCCAACATGCCTGGCTCAATAAATGGCATGAAGTTCAATACATGTGTTCTGAAGAAAGGAACAGAGAGATGCGTGCGCGAAGGTCAGGACACTTGTAAGGAACTAAGGACACAGAAACGAAAGCTCCCCTGTTCTCCCTGTGACCTTGGCTTGGGTTGAAGCCATGAGATTTAAAAGAATGGGGCAGATTTGTGAGAAATTAACAAAGGAAGAATCAAAAAGACCTTGGTCTTGTGAAAGAAGGGGTGAGTGAAATAGGGACTTGGAAGAAAGGGCTCCGTATTTAAGTGAAATCATCTTAATTGTGGTATTTTATAGTGATTGTCACCTGAAATTACTTTTGTTAATAACAGGCCTTACGATTGTTTACAAAGTACTTGCATATTAATGCTTATATTTTATAGTAAACTTCAATACAGTATAGCTCTTAAATACTGCTGTTTTGTGCCCTGCATTCATATCCTACTTCAAGGAATTTTAAAGTTTACCCTTAGTTGTATTTACATTTTAATAGGACTTAAAATTTAAACCATTGGCCTTTTCTCAAACTGTATAAGACAAAAGAAGAAACTGTAAATTTGTACTTCATATATGTTAAAATCATCTGCATTTAAAAACCAAAGAACTTATATGCAAATATGCATAACCCATAGATTCAGACAATAGTGTGGAAGGCAGGAGGGGGTGGGAGTAGAGAGGAGGGGGGTCAAGGCAGGGAAAATAGAGGGACATCTGTAACACATTCAACAATAAAGATAAGTTTAAAAAGAGGAGGGGGAAAAAAGCCACAGATTGAAAAAACATAATTATCAATAGTAGCGTGCTAAGAACAAAACTTCCCCAGCGGATAAGCCTTTGTTTAAAAACAAAACAAAACAATATATATATTGCTTCTAGCCAAAATACTGATGCTACTATCTTCTTTCGCCTCTGACAATTCCCTCAGCTTCACCGTCCCTAGTTTCTCCGTCTATAAATGGCAGGAGGCAAGTTAATGAGTCCTACTCTCCCTGGGTGCCACAGAGCTAGAGAGCAGGGGTGGGGGGCGGTGGGGGGAGAGGCTCCAGAATCCTTTCTCCCCTCTACTTTCAGTTTTATCTACTATGGCTACCTGTGTGGTTTTACAGGGATATAAGGAAGATATTTTTTAATTATTAAAATACAGTAATCAGACAAAAGTTTGAAAGCCACTGCCAACTGAATCATGATTCCCTTGAGGTTCTGACAAAATAAGTCATAGGTGAGACCTAAGTACCTCCACCATCTAAACCATCCACAGATAACTAACTTCTCACTAACAGCTGAAAAAAACTTAAACTAAATGAGTGCTCTCTAACATCTCCTTGACTACTTTTATGTTCAATTCCATTTACAGAGTAAGAAAGGCATTCGTGTTCCGTAGGACGGAAGATTAGGCAGAAGCAGAAGCAGCAGGGACCCCAGCTATAGAACACTCTGGCTAACATCCTTCGGTAAGGACCAACACCGTCAGAGGATGGCTGGCTACGATTTCCGATTTGATTTCCAGCACTGCAGCCACGAGAAGAAAATGTTCAAAAGGCATGTGGCTTAAACTAGTCTTAGCTTAGCCAACCCACCCATAAAAGAACACAAATGCTATCAAATTAAAAATCTCAGTGTCTTCCTGTGACATTCCAGAACCTGCCTGGGGATCCACCTGAGACATCGTTTCAGAACTCAAGTTATTGTAAAATTAATCCAAGGGGGTATAGACTGAAGATCTCATTCTCTGATAACAACACCCTGGGGAAAATTAGTTACCAAATAAGAAAAAAGAACATCTTGCAAAAATCCTCTGACCTTCAACAAAGTGATTTTTGGCTTAATCCACTACAGAGACAGCAAACAGCACAGAATGTAAAGAAACAAGTCAACACTGAAAACCAGAAACTGATATAAAACTTTCCACCACACTAACCAGCAATTAAGGCATCCTTAGGCCATCGGCTGAACCAGTCAACGGTGCATCCTGAAATCAGGGCGGGGAACTTCAAAGCTCGATTTCGAAATTTCTCCCCCACCGGCGAAAAGCAGAGCACAACGTGAAGGTTCCGTCGGACCCGACTCATGAAGTAGTCATACAGGTTCTCGTTGGTCGGAGGACGTCGAGGGTGTTCTTTTTTCATGAATGATATAAGATCACTATTAATTTCATCAATTTCATCACGAGCAAATAGGTTGGAGACCTGAAAAATGTGCAGACATTCAAGTTCAGTACAGACATATGACAACAGATGGAAATAGGTAGCTCAATATATATAATGTCTTTCCTCCATATGTGTTCTTAAACTCACCTCTAGAAAATTAACCAACAGTCTTCAAGAGGAAATACACCACTTGGTAAAACACTCCAACAATTCTATTATTAACTGCAGTCATAGCCTGCCCTTGTAACCTCCTTCTTGTTTTTTATTCTATGCTTTTTGTTGTTGTTTTTTTTTACTTTTCATTTGGAGTACTCATCAAGGTTTTAAATGTATAGCTCCACATTTTGGAAGTTTTATTCTCCAAAACCCAATAGAAAAAGCCATTCTTTATACTGATCGCCTAATTCCCAATAACAGCACTTATTCAAAACTCGCATGGAAGGAAATAAAGATAGCTCTAAAGTTGGAGGGAATCTGAAAAGACAAAATACAGGAAGAATAAATGAGTCCCTCCTACCTCACCCGATGATAAAACATTGTTCATATATTCCAAAAATGACTCATCCTTAATCTCATTGTCCGTGAATATAAAAGTGATTCCTTTGCCTTGCTGACCGGCCGTTTTATACAAAATTTTCAGGTCTTCCATCAGATTTGATGTGTTGTAGGATCTAGAAAAATATTGTCATTGTGTTATTAGCTAATCTATTTTGATGGGAAAGAAAGATCCTTAAAACAATGTTTTATGCCAGTTAGTTAACCAGAAAAGCAAACTGATCTTGTTCCACACATAGGTGCTTTTCTGTATGTAAATGTTACCAGTTCAATATATTCACTTACAAAGATGAAATTGACTTTTTTCTTTCCTTTTCTAATAGCTATTCTTTTGAGAGTAATAAGTACACCATCTTGGTTTTGAATACTTACTGTTTACTAAAGTCAAGATCTATTTTTTTATTGAGGTATAATTGACATATAACATTATACTAATTTCAGGTGTACAACATAATGACTTGATGTTTGTATACATATATTGCAAAATGATCACCACAATAAGTCTAATTAACATCAAATCAAGTAACATAGTTACTTGCAAAGATAAACTTGATTTTTAAAACTCCACATTTTGTGAAACACTATAATTAATGCTTTATACACACACAAAAATCTAGAGTAAAAAGTTAACCTGAAACAAAAATATGTTTACCACAACTAAATGTTATCTGAATGTGTTTATGCTTCATTTTGAAAATATTTTTTGTAACGATAATAAAAAAGTCAAATTGGAATATATGCTAAACACCATTTGCAATGATATTTTAGAAGATACCTCACAAATTAGATTAAACTAAACTAAATCATTTTCAAGCCTTCTTTATATGGGGTGAGGCAGATGCCCTATTATAAATGGTGCCCACCTCATCCCCCAACACAATTACATTCACTACATCTTTGGAATCCACATGGAAAGGTTTGCTGAGCAAGCAGTACACTGTAGTAGAATAGCTAGAAACATTATAAAATAACCCAATATAAATCTTTCACTGTCAAAAGCAGTACTTTGGTGGGAATTAGCTTGCAATCATGAAATGTTAGACAGGTCCCAATATAGAACAGCCCATTCATTACCACCAAAAGGGAAAATAAAGATATTCCAGCCCTGGAACTCAGACTTACTAAATTATTATTTGAATTTTGTGCCATTAAATAAACTCTGAGTTCAGGGCACAAGAGCAAATGGCCTCCTGATTTTTTAAAAAGCTATTAAATATTTAACTTATATACTGTGTGCTTTTTTAACCTCTATAACCTAAACCCTAGAACCAGAAGTACCACTACCATGCACCAATGTTTTAAGAAGACTTCTAGAAAAGTGAGATCTGAGAGATTAGAATTTCAAAAACACAGTCCCCCCCTAAAAAAAAGAAAGAAAGAAAATATCTCACCCCAGCTTCTCATGATATATGAAAATTTTCAGCCCAGTCCCCTGGATCAAGGGGGTCAAATAATATGACCTGAGTCATACACAAACAAATGACCATGCTTCCCAAACCTGAGGCTCTGCTCCTTGACCCTTGCCCACATGGCTGTGTGAAGGCTTAGCAGTAGGATGGTTTCTTGAAGGCTATAAGAAGGAAAAGAGGCCTTGACCTCCTTTTCATCAGTAATGGAGCATCCCCAGTCTGACATGCAGAGGAAATAATCTGTCACAGAGGAGTTGGGAGATATTTATTGAGGCAGTGTGGTGCTCTGCAAGTCAAGACAGTCCAGAAACTATAATATTGGGGTCCATTCCCAGGTAGATCTGAGAGTTCAGATAAGACACTACCTCTCAGAGTCTCATCTATAAGAGGCTATCCTACGAAGTTTTTTTAAAGGTTAAATTAGCTTAAGATGAGTCTCCATCATTGACTCAGGTCAGCTAAATGCTTTTACCTGCCGGGCCAAGCCACAGCTGTAGATCAATGCTCAACAGGCAAGACTTTCTGCTCCTACACCTCGAAATTAACCTCTAATAATTTTCAACCCAACTAAACTTCCCAAACCGGCCTTCTGCTTCTTATCTTGGTTAACCCTGAAATTCTGGTTAGCATCTCTGAATTACCCCTGCTTATCTCTTCATGTTGACTTTTCCTAATTCTTCCTGCACTGCACACATATCTGAGGACAGCCCTTCTGCGGTTCCCTTTCTTGATGAGGAGCTGTACCATTTGCCTACTTTCCAAGCCGGAATCAGGATGGACCAAGTCCAAAGCTCAACTTCCTAATGATCTCATGAATCTGTCAGACCTCTTTCCTCTGTTCTCACAGCTGCCACTCATGACACCGTATCTCTTGCCTAGATCCCTGAGACAGACTTGTAACTGTTCTGGTGTAGATCCTTCCATCCATTTTCTGTACAAAGATGGATAAAATTAGTTTTATAGTATTCTTGTATTATTATTTATTGTTATATATTTGTGTTACACTGTAAACCTACTTTTACCTGCTCCTGTAGATACAAATCTGACATGCCTTCCCCAGCAGTAGCTCGTTAGTGGTTTCCTATTGCTCTAGGATGAAGTCCAAATCCCTATGACACCTTCGAAGGTCTCCATTTCTCTTCCTTTCCTGATTTCCACCTTACACTGTACACTGAGCCATATTTAACTTCTTCCAGGGCCTCAAATGTGACTTCACATGTGCTGATTCTTTTCCCTGGAACATTCTTTACTGCTCCTCTTCTCTGAGATCATTTTGACTCATAATCAGGTCTCAGCTGAAACATGTCTTTCTCCAAGAAGCCTTTTCTAACCACCCCCTAGACTAGGGTAGGAGTCCTCCCCCTGTTTCAGCAGCACTTGGTCAGTAGTCATTTCCTTATAGATATCATCAGTGGCATCACACCTTATTGAATGGGTTGCTCAGTTGTCTGTGCACCTTGAATTACTATAACCTCCATGATGACTCAGGCCGGGTTTACCTTGCTTACCATGTACTCCCTAGAACTACACCTGTGCCTGACACGTAGATGATGTTCAGTAAATATTTTTAAATGTGTGAATGAGTAAACTTGTACCATTTTTTCATCTACTTTTCTAATTTATTAACATTCTTGAAATCTGAATTAACATTTAATAGGGATAAATTTCTTCTGAGATACACCAAAAGGAATACACATAATCCCCACCTCGTGCATAGCATAAAGACAGGAAGGCAGCTACTCGCTGCAATGAGAGGCTGGAGGGTTTCCAGAGCAAATTATTACTGTGACATTTTCATGGTTCATAACAGAGATTGGAAGGGGAAGATGATAAGTCAACACTGAAGAAGAAAAACTATTGTGACTTTTTTAAGGTATAAGAAAAATGCATTCTTAACTTCTGAGAACTTTGATCAAAATCCATTTCGGGTTAATTAAAGTGAAATCTTGTTACCTTGTCAAAGTGATCTGGAAGAAGGTATAGCCAGCAATGAACGAAGCCAACCTTGTGAGGCTCTGCTTTCCTGACCCACCAACCCCCACCAGGAGCGCATTTCCCCGGGGAGTGCGAATGACGCGGGAAATCTAGAACATGGAACAGAAAAAGCATGTATCATTCAACATGTAAATATTCCTTTACTTCTATTTGTTCTACATAGCAGTTCGGAAGATGTAGATTTCTCAGGATCAGGATGGAGAGATATACTGGTTGGAGGAATGGGGACACAGCTGAAAGAGAACAGTGTTTAGTAATATTGAACAGAGTGAGAAATGCGGGGTGAGCCTTTAGGAAGCGAGGAGGAGACTCAACAGATAAGCAGTCAGCCCAGACTGTGGCTTGCTCTGGGTCTTCAGAAAGCCTTAAAAGAGCCTTGAAGGTTTCCTTTAGTTTGCCCAACCTACTGCAGTAGGACAGGAAAGAGAACAGCAGTTTCCAAACGTGCATCTTTGGAATACAGAACCCACTGGTGATTAGAATATCCTACACATTTGAAAAATGACAGATTAAACTGAAAATTCCTCAAATATGGCGTAGATACAGAATTTCTTTTTTAAAGAAAAAAATTAGCATAAATACACTCCTGTTATTTGGCCAAGACAGTGATACCTAAAATATCTATCAAGAAGTGACGAACTTCCGGTCAAGATGGCAGCGTAGGTAAAGGCAGTATCGGCCTCCTCCCACAACCACATAAAAATTACAACTAGCCCTGGCCGGTTTGGCTCAGCGGTTAGAGCGTCGACCTGTGGTCCAGAGAGACCCGGGTTCGGTTCCTGCTAAGGGCACGTACCTCAGTTGCAGTTTGTCCTCAACTCTGGTTGGGTCGAGCAGGTGGCAGCCACTTGATGTGTCCCTTTCATGTCAATGTTTCTCTCTCTCTCTCTTCCTCCCACTCTATCTGAACAAAAAAATGGAAAAATGTCCTCGGCTGAGGATACAAATAAAAGAAAAAAACATTACAACTAAACTACAACACAACCATCATTCAGAACTGCCATCGAGTTGAATGGGAGTCCTACAACTACAAATTTAAATAAGCAGAAGCGGCCACATCGAGACTGGGAGGAGGGGCGGAGGCATGGAGAGGCTGGTCCCACACCCACGTGTGGCAGATAAAAATCAGGAGAATACCTCCACTGGGAAGGGCCTCCTTGAGGAGAGAGGGGTCCTCGTCCCACACCAGGTGCCCATCTCAGGTTTTCAGTGCTAGGAAGAGAAGTCCCCATCACTTCGGGCTGGAAAACCCAGAGGGAACTGAGGCAGAGGAAGGATGAGGCAGCTGTAGCCCCAGGCAGCTCCTCTTAAAGGGCCCGCTCATGGATTTTCTTGGACTTACTCCCTGTAAGCTTGGAGGGGAGATAGCTTGAGGGGAGCCAGAGACACACAGGAAAGAACTGAGCTGTTTAGCCTCAGGACGAGGGCTGGAGAGGTGGCTTTTTCTTGGACGAACGTGATGACGGAGGCTGATGTTCCTTTGGTGAGCCCTTCCCTGGAGCAGCAGACAGCCACCATATCTGGGACTTCAGCAACCTGGTTCACCCTGTTTGCCCCACCCTGGTGATTCGCTGAGGCCCTGCCTCACCCAACTTTCAGACCCACCCAAGCTATTTCCAAGGGCTTTACCATAGGATTGACCTGTCTTGGATCCTGCTTCAGAGTTTCCTAAAATCTCTCAAACAAGCAGCATCTGGTATCAGTGAGCCCCATACCTCTTGTTAAGTGGCCCCAGGCCTGGCACTAGAAGCAGCCAGCCTTGATTCACAACGTGGCTTTTCCTGGGCACCTCCAAGCCCACTACAAGAAGCCACCATAGGCAGATCACTTTGTAGCTTACGCCTGGTGGCCTCGAAAAGAACACAGGCAGTAGCTGACTTTGCCCAGAGCCAGCACACCTGGTGGACAGTTTCAGACCACATCAAAACACCACCACCCAACCACCTCCACAAATGACACACTCAGTGAGTGGACTCAGTGGGTACCAGAACCCTGATGAAGTAAGTCTTACTCTGTGTGGTTAACCCCTACACAGCTGATCCTCCAATGTAGTCAGAGGCCAGAGGTCAGTGGGTACAACCAGTCCTTGCAGCCAATCAGCCTGAGAAAATCCCTTCTATTGACGTGACAACAGCAATCATAACTCAATTACAACAGAAGGGTATACAGTTGACACTAGGTGTGCACCTCAAAGGCCCAGCGGGGGCAATCAGGAAGGCTGTGCCACTGGATCCTACAGGACATCTACAACAATAGGCCACCCTATGAAGCCTAGGAGACATAGCAACTCAAGCTAATACATAGAAACAATCACAGGGAAGCAGCCAAAATGAGGGGGCAATGAAACCTGTCCCAAATGAACGAAAAGAACAAAACTCCAGAAAAAGAATTAAACAAAATGGAAATAAGCAAACAATCAGATGCAGAGTTCAGAAAACAGGTTATAATGTTGCTCAAAAAACTTGGTGAGACATTCAAGGAACTTAAGGAGAACTCCAAGGAACTTAGTGAAAACATCAACAACATAAATAAGGACCAGTCAGAAATGAAGGATGCACTAACTAAAATAAAGAATAATTTACAGGGAATCAATAGTATAGTAGGTAAAGCCAAGAAGCAAACCATCGATTTGGAATATAAGTAAGTAAAAAACACCCAATCAGAACAGCAAAAAGAAAAAAGAATTTTAAAAAATGAGGATAGTATAAGGAGCCTCTGGGACAACTTCAGGCATGCCAACATTCTCATCATAGGGGTGCCAGAAGGAGAAGAGAGAGAGCAAGAAATTGAAAATCTATTTGAAATAATAATGACAGAAAGCTTCCCTAACTTGGTATAGGAAACAGACATACAAGTCCAGGAAGCACAGAGATTCCCAAACAAATTGAACCCAAAGAGGACCACACCAAGACACATCATCATCAAAATGCCAAAGGTTAAATACAAAGAGAGAATCTTAAAAGCAGCAAGAGAAAAGCAGTCCATTACCTACAAAGGAGCTCCCATAAGAATGTCAGCTGATCTCTCAAAAGAAACTTTGCGGACCAGAAAGGAGTGGCAAGAGATGTTCAAGGTAATGAAAAGCAAAGACCTACAACCAAGACTACTCTATCCTGCAAAGCTATCATTTAGAATTGATGAACATATCAAGAGTTTTCCAGACAAGAAAAAGCTAAAGGAGTTCATCACCACCAAACCAGTATTATATAAAATGTTGAAGGGTCTTCTTGAAGGAGAAAAACAAAAATATGAACAATAAAATAGCAATTAATACATATCTATCAACAATTGAATCTACAAATAAAATGAGCAAGCAGAACAAAAACAGACTCATAGATACTGAGAACTTTTTATTGTTTGCCAGATGAATGGGGGCTGCGGGATTGGTGAAAAAAATGAAGGAATTAAGAAGTACAAACTGATTTTTAGACTAATGAACCTCAAAGGGAAGGGGGTAGGGAGGGTGGGATGAGATAAACCAAAGAACTTCTATGCATATATGCATAATCAATGGATACTGACAATAGTGTGGGGAAGGCTGGAAGAGGTGGGATTAGGGAAGGAAGGGTTTAATGGGGAAAATGGGGGTGACATTTGTAATACATTCAACAATAAAGATGAGTTTAAAAAAAGAAGTGACTATTGGTGGACTGACCAGATGTCCACTCTATTATAGTCAGTAGCACCAGACCATTACAAGTCCTCATCATGGTAAAAGTCTACATTCCTTTACTTTTATTGGTAAATGAACTACTTATATACACCATCATGCCTCCAATTCCACCTTGAGGGAATTCAGTGCAGAATTCTACTTGATGCATTCTTCACTTACTGTGATAACTATCTTTCCCTCCTACCTGCAGTTTAAGCCTGGGGTACTGTTGTAATACCCACTTTTCTGTAGAGAATGGATTAGGGGCTAAAAAAGGGTCACTTCCCTATGGTTAGGGAAACTTCCTGGGGTAACTCGGGCTCTGTACTCTGCCAAGGTTTTGTTAAACACCCTTCCTGAGGACCAGGAATATGTTATGATCTATTCATATTGACTACTCTTGGCTTTTGAATTATTTCCCCCAATTTAGTTGTGAGCCCCAGGAAATGAAAACCATTTTCCTGTCTCTGCTGTGGACCTGAGAATATGAGAGATAGAGAGGTAACACACCCTTTCTTCCAGCCTCCTACTCACCCTTTCCATGTGATTCTCTCCACAACTGTTGTAGGCAAGAGAGGAGTGGTACTGGCAAGAATTTTGGGGATTTTGCAAATGTCTATTCATATTCTTTCCCTGGAATTACTCCGACAGGCACAGGTAATGCAGGTAAGGAGCAACTACAAGCTACACTAGAACTTGCTGTGTCTTTCCCTGGTTAACATTTTTCAAAATACATGGCTTTTGTCATAACCATTTCCTATGGTTGACACTGGTGAATATATTAAGTGTTTAAATAATTGTTGTTAGGTATTGGGATCCTTCATCCCAATGTATTTTCCTGTACCTGGGCCTAGATCTTTTATTAAATTGTTTTATTCCCAGTTTCCAACACATGGTAAACCCTTTAAATGTATTTGACAAATGAACATACAGATGAACAAACAAAAAGAAGGCTTCAAAAAACTCATAATCTAGTTAAAAACAGAAGTTATAGGAGAAAACACAATCAAGTGAGGCCTTCAAATGGGGCTATTTTATCCTATGTATACAGACTGTGAGATAGAGACATTCATTTTTTTAATTCCTTTGGCAAATATTTAATAATGTCCATTCTGCCCTGCAGGTGCTCACCCTCCAGCAGAGGAGAGAGACCTATGAATGGAAACATGGTAATCCACAGGGCACAGGCTGGAGCAGACAGGATTGATGGACAGGAGGACAGAATGCAAAGGAAACAACACTGCTTGAGAGAGGCTAGTATTAGGTGTGGAGCTGGAATTTGGTCTGCATACTGAAAGATAACTAGAAGTTCTTCATACAGAGAAGGTGACATACCAGGCAGGAGTTGAGCTAAATTTTAAGAAGGAGGAATGGGATGCACAAAGTCTCAGAGTCAGAAAATGCCCAAAAAAATTCTCATAGGAGTGAGAACTTCAGTACTGGATACAGAGACACTGGGACATGGGGTAGCAAAGGGTTGTTTAGGGTTATGTTGGGGACTTGGTTCTATTCCGAAGCTAAGGATCGAGCATCTCAAGTGTGCCTGTTTCAGCATTACTCCAGTCAGTAAATGCTGAGATGAACAAATTTGATACTGCACTCATGGAACTTATCATCCTGTGGGAAAGACAAACACACAAAAGGATCAATCTACACAATGCAGCATCTGCTGGGAAGGTGGTAGTGGTGAGTGGTCCTGAAATTGGGATGTGTTTAATCATAGGTTGTTTTTTTCTGGTTTACATGCTAAGCAAACATGACCCATGCAGCTAGAGTGTTAGGCAGGGGCTAGATCATAAATGAAGCATGTACCAAGGCTTGAATGTTAACCAAAAAGGCAAAAGAGATATTGTAGAAATAATCTCTGTTTTAAAAGAAAAATCCTGCCCTGGTCGGTTTGGCTCAGCGGTTAGAGCATCAGCCTGCAGTCCCAAGAGACCTAGGTTCAGTTCCTGCTAAGGGCATGTTCCTCGGTTGCAGTTTGTCCCCAGCCCTGGTTGGGTCGGCAGGTGGCGGCCACTCGATATGTCCCTCTCACATCAATGTTTCTCCCTCTTCCTCCCACTCATCTGAACAAAAAAAAAAAAAAAAAAATGAAAAATGTCCTCAGGTAAGGATAAAAAAGAAAAGAAAAATCCTTATTTTAATTAAGGAAGAAATTAAGAAATATGCTTGGTCTCATATCTCATCCTACTTTGCTGCAATTTTATCTTCATTTCTGTCTCTTGATTTCTAGCATGTCTTATAAATAGGTCACATATTTCAAGACTCACACCCACATGACACAGACTTTGGATATATTTTTCACAGAAAACAAGAATGAAGAGGAGAGGGTCAGCCTAGAAGACAGGGAGAATTGTAGCATTTTAGCTCAAAATCCAGTCATGAATTCTTTGGCCAGTTCCAGAGCAGACACAATAGAGGCTGTGAGAGTGAGGGAAAACATGGTCAAAGACCCTGTGCTGAGACACCCAGGCCTTGAACGCCATGCCCAAAGTGAAGAAACGCTCCTCAGTCATCATCTGTGCTGTGAAACAAGGCAAGAAAAAAAACAGGTCTAGGGAACTTCTCAAGCATGAGACTAACATAAATAACCTCATCTACAATTTCAGCTATGAAGTACCAGGTCATTCAGATTTTGTCTCTAGTGGACACCCAGTCATGAAGTTGCCTTTGGTATTATTTATTCAGAAAATGTTTCTCTTTTCTTCTTCTTCCTTTTAATCATTAAATATGACACATGTCTATTCTTCCTGAAACATATAACTCTTACACCACTATCAATTAGGAGCTAATTTCCAAATGTTATTTATATTTGGCTTTGAAAGAACATTATAATTCTGTACAAATATCTCATGTTCTGGAGAGTTTAGTGTTTTCAAGCTAAATGCCTCATGCTCGGGAAATTTAACCCCAGAACAAACTCTCTGTCCCCCCCTTCTCCCAGACTTACCCCGGCCTTCAAGACAGAAATGCTTTCCTCTCACTCTTCCATTTCAGGGGCAAGTGACTAGATAACCTCTACAATACTCTCCATTTCTAAGATTCAATAATTATTAGAAGTGGCAATTTGTAATTATGAGATCGTACCGCCTGTTTAAACCTAAATAATGGAAGATAACTTCAAATTGTCTTCTAACGAAAAGGATATAGTCTGAAGAAGTAATTCACATAAACAGTGTGAGAATATCAGCAACCAATTTTAAATGGCATTATCTTCCAACACAGATAAATTAGGTCATCTAAGTTATCAAGTAAATAATATTTTTTACTTCCAGCTTTAGAAGATCCACTGCCCTATGCATGGATACGTCAATGACTAATATGACAAAGTAGAAAGGAAATATTTTCCAGGTAGATATAATTCAAACAGAGTTTTCATCCAACTCAAAGTGAATTTTTATGTCCTATTTTTTAATTATTATTTCTAATTGTGGTGAAATACATCTAACATAAGACTCATCATCTTAACCATTTCTAAGGGTGTAGTTTAATGGCATGAAGTACATTCACACTGTTCATACAACCACCACCACCATCCATCTCCTAAATAGAACTTGTAAAAATGGAACTATACCATTAAACACTCCCCATTGTCCCTCCCCCTCAGCCCCTGGCAACCTCTACTCTACTTTTTTGTCCCTGTGAAGTTGACTACTGTAGATACCTCATATAAGTGGAATCATTCAGTAGTTGTCTTTTTGTGACTGGTTTATTTCACTTATCATAATGTCTTCAAAGGTTCTGCACTATTTGTGTGTGTGTGTGTGGTACATGCCCCTAGCAGGAACCAAACCTGGGACTCTCCAATCCGCAGGCCAATGCTCAACTGCTGAGCCAAACTGGCCAGGGCTTGCACTATTTTTTATAGCTATCCTTTGCATGGTGCAAAAAATAAGCAGAATTTTTGCCTGTGCTTTGAACTCAGATGTCAACCACATTGTTTCTATGTAGTGAAAATATTGAGCTGGAAGCTGTACAGCAGCAACACTGAATAAAATTATCATATCACACATTCGAAGTACACATGCTCTGAGTTTAAGCCTATATGTGTGACATGTTGCATTCAGTTTAGAAGTTAAATTGGAATATAGCACTGAGTTTATTTTTAAACTGCATATTCTCCTAGGAGATGAAAATGAAAGAGGAGGGGGAAATTCCGGTGTGAAGCCAAGAGTCTATCACTTTGGAGAGACACTAATGGGTGTGGCCACTGACCTTGACTAAGTGGACCATGGCATCCGCGAAGAACACCAAATCCATGCCAGCACCACGCACGCTTTCATTGTAGAGCTGCAGGAACATATTCAAACGTTCCCTTAGGTGATCAAAAGACTCAACTGACTCATAAACTTTGGGCCTCTCAGCCTCAGCCTCCTCAGATGTTTCTCCTGCGGTTGGGGAAAAAGAATCGATTAAGTGTCTTCAACTACTTCCTTCAGCGAAAATTAATACACTCATAGCTCTGCAATTTAGCACTAAATAATACCAATTTTCAGCCAAATGTCATATTACGTATTTTTAGAAACAGGAGCAAACAATACTAAAAGCATTCGAATTTTCGTTAGAGTGTGCAGTCCTAGTTCTTTCCTGTCCAGAAAGGGCCAGTTTCAAATACTATTATAAATACTGAATTTAACTTGTATCCATAATTCAACAATTTCATTTCAAGGATCCTCCCAGAGGCAGTCACCTAATCATCAAAATGAAGATGAAAAATAAAAAAAGGTGGAATTCAATGTCAAAATTAGCAACAGAGGTCAAGAATTAAATGATTTTTTAATAAGAATAAAAAGGTCATTGCATCTGCTCAGGTAACTTTTGTAATTCATAAATTTCAGATTAATGGTGAGGACAGAAGTGAATTTGGGGGAATGGAGGTAGAGGGTTGAGAGAAACATAATAATTATTTCCCAAATAAACAAACATTAAATTATTTCACTGGGAAAGTATCAAAATCAATATTTTTTAAATTAGAAACATATAACAGCTTAATACTTTCCCAACTTTGACTATAAAGCACAATACCAAAAAAAAGGCTAATCTGAAAACAAATAAATTCACTATCAGTTAACAGTAACAAGAAAAAAGGGACACATTTGTTATTCATACTAATAACAGTTTAGAAATTCACTGGGTACTAAAAAAAGTGAGTGGATCCTCCAAATCTAATTCAACTGACCCTGTCCTAATATAATTGTATATTCACATTTTTATGACAAAGCAAGGAAACCGACTTAACATACTCATTAAGATTGGCCTATTTGCAAAGCTCTCACTAACTGAATTGCAAGTCCTGTCACTGCGTCGTCAACGTGTAACTCGAGCTTTGAGGAAGGAAGTGCTCTGAAGCCAGAAGAGATGGAATGTTTGCCTCCAGATGCCACTCCCCCTGAAATGCATTTCTGCTTTGCTCCTTGAAAATCATAATCTGAATAGTTATCTTTCTGAATTAGAGGAAATAAAATACATAAATTCTAATTATCTGGCAAATGCTCTTACCTTTACAGCATTTTTGTATTTGTGTGACCGAATTTAAAATAAAATGTGTCAGCTTCTTTCTGTGGAAGGATCCTTCCAACTGCACAGCCAGCAATAAACCTCCTTTTACAATTTTCAATCAGAAACTGGATAGATCACATATATCCTTATTAAATCTAGTAAGGAGCTGCCTGGTCATTTTCAATCATTTAAAAGATATAAATAGCATGTGTTTAAACATGCCTTTTTAAATTTGGAAAATAACTGAAAATTCATATTTAGTATAGAAGAGGTCATTCAATAAAAGAAAAAATATTCTATTTAAGCTCAGTTACTTCTAAGGGAAAAAATAATTGGAGCACTGCTCCTTTTCATAAGAAAAGTAATGTATATCTCAATTTTTCATAGAACCTTAACCACAAAAGCTTGCCTCCACATCACCCATCTCTTTCCAATTATATTCAATGGCCCTCTCCGATAGTTTGAGGTTTCCTTCTTATTCTGAACACTCGGGATGACCTAAATAATAATTATCGTCATTTTTGCTGCCTTTCATTCGGCAGTGACTGTGAGCCACAGATGGCCCAAGCCTTTCTGGAGATAACATTCCATTTACTCCCACAGTGCCCCATGATGCGTATAGTAATATTTCCATTTTCATAAATGAGGGGAATGAGGTTCAAGAAAGTTCAGAAACTGGCCCACCTCTCCGTGACAGCTGTAAGTCCCGTGCACTTTCTTCTGCCCTATCCTGCCTCCCAACTCTACCTTAATATCCAAGACTCAGATGCATAAAAAGTAGTTAAATTCTGCACTCCGGGAGTATGCATTTATTTATTCATTCCATATTTTTTGAGCACCGAGCACGTCCCAGGCTTGTTTCGGTAAAGCTTACTAGACAAACATTCAGCACCCCTAGACTGGACCTCCCATCTTCAGATAGCCCTTCAGGGAATTTCAAGTTCTGCTTTAATAGTTTACCTGTGGCTTCAGGTGCATCCCTCAAGAAATCCACAAAGTAAGCATCTATTCCACAATCCACCAAGAGTTTTTTCTCTTCACCAAACTCCTCCTCCACCAAACTTACTAAAGCCTTATCAAACCAGACCACATCATCGGATGCCGTGAAGCGATCAGCTACCACGCGTTTACACTCGTGCTTCCACAGCCTCAGCAGTTCCTGTAGAGAGCACAGAAAGTATGTTCCTAATTGTCTTTATGCCCACGGGGGGAATTCAAGGTCACAATGTTGTAGATTACCATCCTTCCTGATTGAAGATGCTGTATTTTTAAAACAGGATTAAGATGTACTTAACTTCATTTCAAATTTGTCTCATTCATGAATATTACACAGAAAGTAGGTTCTATTCATTTTCAGTTTTTAAATTAAAATGAAAACATTTTAGACAAAATGCTAGAATCACTTTAATCAACCAAAAAAACTAATATTCTATGTAAAAGTCTATGATTATGATAAATTAGTCTGTTTTGATAAGACACCTACATTCATGTGTCCAGAGCATAATATAAAATACAGTGTATAGCCCAGCCAGTGTGGCTCAGTGGTTGAGCATCAACCCATGCACCGGGAGGACACCGGTTCAATTCCTGATCAGGGCACATGCCCAGGTTGTGGGCCACATCCCCAGTGTGGGGGCATGCAGGAGGCAGCCAATTGATATTTCTCTCTCATTGATGTTTCTTTCTCTCTCTCTCTCCCTTCCTCTATCTAAAAACATCAATAAAGAAAAAAATAAAATTAAATAAATAAAATACAGTATATAAACAACTCTCACTTATACAATTGAGATATTACAAAGGTAATTTACTTAACACAATGTGAAGGTAATTTGAAGAAGGCAATCACCTAGTCTAGATAATCCAAAGTCAAAATTAACCGGAAATTGAAGAAATTAATTGTTCAATATACCTTTTCTTAAAACAAGCATAACAAATGTTCGATATGATATGTTCACTGATATGAAAGACGGCTGCAAGTTTCTTAACTTGGTGACATTTACAAATTAGAAGGGTTTTTAAACCATTATATTTCTAATCATAAAATACTATTTAGTCACCAGAATATAAAAGGAATGTGGCAAAATATATTCAATGATGTGATTAAAATAAAAGTTCATGATGAAACAATTTGCTAAGACTATTTATGCTGCTGGGGACAGGGCAGCAATGGAGGAGGGGGGGATCAGTAGGGGGAAAAGGAGAAACATCTGTAACAAAAATAAATTAATTAATAAAAAAATAAAAATAAAGAATAAACAGCAAAAAAAAAGGGGGCTATTCAAAGTAATACTGAAGAACTGTATTCCACCATGCCATTAATTTGTCAATAAATGTAAGGAAAAGTCAAGTTAAAACATTCATTGCGGTTAAAATGACTCTTACTTCCCTGTAACAAGGAGAGTGTCTTTTTAAAGAAATATCTTGTCTTGAAGTCAACCAGTGCAGAGACCTACTTTGTGAGTATCTGGTGATGTTGCTTCTTTAAATAATCAACACAATGTGCCTAGTGTCAATTTAGTCGATGTCTCAACTGTCTCTGTATATTAATGGGGAGAAGTACCTAAAACCCATTTGCTAAACTTCCTCTTTGGTTGCATAAAATGCTGAAAGAGAGGCCAAGATCACCTTAGCCTCAGCAAACAGCCCATGCTTTGGTTCCTTGTTTGAAGGGAATTCTATAATGATAGGAACTGTTATATTCAAGTACATGTACAAATGCTCATTTTTCTGTCAAATAAACTTTCTTCCCTTCTGCCTCTTTCCAATTTTATGAATACATAATTTGTTCAGTGCATTTAGTTATAAGGAAAGGAAAAATCATGAATGAATAACAACAAAAAGGAAATCGAGCCTGGTAGGAATTGCAGAGGCCCACGGGGGCGGGCTGGGAGCCCATGGACATCAGGGGAGAAATGTATTGGCGGTGTGCATTTCCCATTGAGAAAGCAGGGGTTTTAAAGACAAATCATCAGGAAAAGCCAACTGAAGAGCAGCTGGACAGAACCAGTACAACCAGGGATGCCAAATCGAGCCTGGTAGGAATTGCAGAGGCATTCAGGGGTGGGCTGGGAGCCCGCAGACAGCAGCGGAGAGCTGTATTAGCAGTGGGAGCTTCCCACTGAGAAAACTACAGGACATTGGAAAAAGAAATAGAGGAAGATATAAAAAAGTGGAAGCATATACCCTGTTCATGGATTGGAAGAATTAACATCATTAAAATGTCCATAATACCCAAAGCAATCTATAGAGTCAATGCAATCCCCATCAAAATACCAATGACATATTTCACAGAACTAGAACAAATGCTCCAAAAGTGTATATGGAACCAACAAAGACCCCAAATAGCCACAGCAATCTTGAAAAAGAAGAACAAAGTAGGAGGGATCACAATACTGGATATCAGATTATACTACAAAGCCATAGTAATCAAAACAGCCTGGTACTGGCACAAGAACAGGCATATAGATCAATGGAACAGAACAGAGAACCCAGAAATTGACCCAAAACATTATGCTCAATTAATATTTGACAAAGGTGGCAAGAGCACACAGTAAAGTCAGCTTCTTTAATAAATGGTGTTGGGAAAATTAGAAAGCTACATGCAAAAATAAAGTTAGACCACCAACTTATACCATATACAAGAATAAACTCAAAATGGATAAAAGACTTAAATGTAACTCATGAATCCATACAAATCCTAGAAGAAAATGTAGGCAACAAAATTTCAGACATCACATGCAGCAGAACTTTCACTCATTAATAAAAAAATGAACACATGGGACTACATCAAACTAAAAAGCTTCTGCACAGCAAAAGAAACAACCATCAAAATGGAAAGGGATCCCACTATATGGGAGAGCATAACTGCCAATGATACATCAGATAAAGGGTAAATTTCCAAAATATATACAGTACTCATACAACTCAACAATAGGAAGACAAAGAATCCAATTAAAAAAATGGGCAGAGGACCTAAAGAGACACCTCTTCAAACAGGACATTCAAATGGCAAAGAGACATATGAAAAAATGCTCAATGTCACTAATCATCAGAGAGATGCAAATTAAAATGACTATGAGGTATCACCTGACTCCTGCCAGAATGGCTGCCATCAACAAGTCATCAAACAAGTTCTGGCGAGGGTGTGGAGAAAAGGGCACTTTAGTGCACTGCTGGTGGGAATGGAGATTGGTGCAGCCACTGTGGAAAACACTAGGGTGTTACCTCAAAAATTAAAAATTGAACTGCCATTTGAACAAGGGATCCCACTTCTAGGAATATATCCTAAGAAGCCTGAAACACCAATCAGAAAGAATATATGTACCCCTATGATCATAGCAGCACTATTTACAATTGCTAAGATCTGGAAATAGCCCAAATGTCCATCAGTAGATGAGTGAATAAAAAAGCTGTGATACATATACACAATGGAATATTATGCAGCTGTAAGAAAGAAAGTTATCTTATTATCATTTGTGACTACATGGAGGAGCCTGGAGAGTATTATCTTAAGCGAAACAAGCCAATCACAGAAAGACAGATGTTACATGATCTCACTTATTTGTGGAATATAATGAACAAAAAAAAACAATGAACAGAATGGACCCGGAGATATGGATGTGGGGTGCAGACTGACAAACTTCAGAAGAGGATTTCAGGGGAGGGAAGAGACAGACCACAGAACTTATATGCATGTATGCGTAACCAATGAACATAGACAAGTATGCTGGGGGGAGGGATTTGGGAGGAGGGTGTCAATGGGGGAATAAGGAGAACCATCTATAACAAAAACAAATTAATTAATAAAAAAAAGAATAACAACAGAGTGGTTTCCTTTTTCAATTTTGAGTATTTACAAAGATAATTACTTTTTAAGTTAAAATGTAACATTTAAAATACGAAGACTATTATATAATGAAATCAATAGTGATCTGTTCCATTATTTAGTATAAAACACATATCTCATGATGGAATAATAAAATCAATTGCCTCTCTTGCTCTATTAATATAAAGTAACTATGTATACCATTTCCCTAAATTTAAACATAATTTAATTAGAATTTTTAAATTAAATTTTCTGACATACTGTTTCTTTATGTATGTGAGTTGAAACGCAGCAAAGAAAAAATATCTGTGCTGAAACATCTAAAAATATTTTCAGAATTCCACTGAAGATTACATTACTAAGAATATTTAGGGTGAGTACAGACAGTATAGCTCAGTGGATTGAGCATTGTCCCATGGACTGAGAGGTTAGATTCCCAGTCAGGACACATGCCTGGGTTTCATGCTCAATCCCCAGTAGGGGGCATGCAGGAGATAGTCAATTGATGTTTCTCCCTCACATCGATGTTTCTATCTCTCTCACCCTCCTCTCTCTCTCTAAAAAAAAAAAAAAGAATATTTAGGTATATGGTAAAGAACACATTATTTGTTTTTCTTTCTTACTTACATCTGGTTCCTTGATAACCTCTGAGGTTGTATTCAGCATCCCCTGCCAAATCCTGGAAAGGTCTCGAAGATTAAATATGTAATGGAATTTTGCAGGAGTAGGGAGCATTTTCATCTTAGTCATCTGCCATAGGCGACGTGTCATGGGAACCAATTTTGTCACTGACTCTCTCACTTCTTCAGAGAAACCCCTTTGGATACAGTAGTAGCCTACCCCAATGACACCTGCAAGGGGCAAAGAGGAACAAACACTGTGACTGGCAGTTCAAATCAACTAAATTAAAACAAAATACATTATAATGTAGAGTGGGCACAAATAGAATTGCACATTTTAATGTACAACCACATATTAAGGAAATCTATAGTATGTTCTCTTGTTTTTTAAAACATAAAAAGCAGATATAAGTTCAAATAAGTTAGCACTCAAATACTGAAAAGTTGATTAAGAAATCCTGCTGCAACTCTAGCTGAACTAATTCAATATTTAAAAAAGGGTAAATATAAATATATAAAGATGCTTCAAAAAAGAGATTAGAAAAAGAAATATTTCATGAATGCGCTAAGATTTCTCCATTCTTTTGTTGCATTTCCATTATAAAATATTTTAATTTACCTTATATGTAAAACTTTTCCAGGCCAAAAAAAAAGATAATTAAAAGTGCTAACAGTCATACTTTCTGGTTCATTTTACCTTTTTTCAAGTTTAGATAATTCACATGTCATTTGGTTTCCAAACCTCTGCCCACTGCTGTGGGCAGGCAGCACTCTGGGTGCCAAGATGACATTTTGGTCTTCCAGAAATTAATTAGGGAAATCCTAATGAGTTTTTTCTCAATATCAAGGTCAGAAATGCTAAATTAATACTTAACACAAATGACATAACTTACACCTTTTTTCTGCAAAGAGCAATTCCAAATGCATTTATAAATCATATTTATTACTCAGTTAAATAATTATGATTACCTATGGGGCTAGTGTTTCTTCAACAAGATTATTCCTGAAATACTACATATTTAAGCAATCAATGATTTATTACTCTATAAATTACTCTGAAGATCAGACTATGACTATTCTCAGTGCAAAACTATTTCTGTGCAAAATTATTATTTTGGTCAGCACCATTATATGGGCTGGTTGACGATTCAGCTATATTAACTTTTGGCATGATATTCTTCTATCAATCCAGACTTCAAATATGTGTGTCCATGAGGGAATGACCTCATTATGTGAGTCATTATATTAAGAAAAATATACTACTTGAGAGGGATAAGGGCAACAGGTGAAGGGGCCACACAGTGCTCCCTCTGTGCTGACCTCTGGATGTACATGTTCTCACTGGGACACAAGGGATTGCTCTTCCCTCCCTAAGCTCCATCGACATTCATCTTACCAAAGATCTTGTCCATGGAAGCGTCGGAGGGTAGTGTGCAGTTAAATATAGAGAACTGCCTCTTGAGTCTTTGGGGTATATCATTGCGTCCACCCCCGGGATGGATCATGGCTGCCAAAAGCTGAATGTCCACAATACTGGTAAACTCTCCAGGCTTCTCTAGGTTATAAAACCCACTCTGTTCCATCAGCTGTCGTACTATCTCATTGGTAACCTAAGAAAGACAACTTTCAGGATTAAAACATCACTTCTTTACATCCTGGAGCCTGGCTTTTTGAGTGCTTCAAATTAATGGACTTGATGGGAATTCAGGAATTATATGTTGGAAAATTAGAAAAATATTTACTCATTAACGAATAAATCAATGTTAAATTTTTAAAAGTGCACAGTAAGACTCGATATACCTGGTCTCCCCACTCATTGATTATTGGCATGTTCACATCATCAATAAACACAGTCATCTTCTTTCCTGCAGGAGGGCCATATGTCGTACCCATGCGTTTATCCACATAACTCTCTATTGCCCTCTGTCAAACAAGAAAGCCAACAGAAACATCTGTGAAACTATCCCCTAAAACGTGCTCAATTATTTTAAAATTTTAGAAACACTTGAATTGACAGGAATTACTCAGAATATATCCAAACTCCCCCTAATTCTGGAAGGCAGGATACACAGTCCCTAAATTATCTTGATAACGTTTACAACCTTTGAAAATCTGATTTAATTTAGGAGTAAATAAAACTCTACTCAATATAAATGTTGAATAAGATGGGACTCTTCAGGCCATTTCTACAGATTTACTTGCACCTATGTTGATGATACTCTAACCCTGAACCCCCATTATTCAGAGTCCAGCTCTTACAAATAGGGAGGGACAAAGTTAAACAGGGCTACTATCCAAGAAGCTTCTTAGGTCTGTGCTCTGAGCTGCACCGCCTGCTGAGTCTGAAGACGGCTCTCGCTCCACTGAGGAGGCTGCCAACTGGCTTCTGTGGCCTGATGAGATCCAGACTCACTGCTTTGGGGCAGATGCAGTCACTGCATCATTTCTCTTCCCCTGAGACCAAATGAGAACAACACCCACCCGTGTCCCCTCTCTCATTTCTACACTCAGCACAGGTTGCACAGGAGACTACACTGTGTTCTATGAAAACACGTTCCTAGCAATATGAAAAAGAACATTGAAACTGATGGCAGTAATATAATGTTATATGTCAATTACACTTCAATTTTAAAAAGCTGATGGAAAGAGTGTTGGAAAGGTAAGAGGGACATGGGAGAAGGACCTCAGGTTAGTGACAATGATATTATCATTTCTGTGGTAGTACAATGTAGTGTATAAGTTAATCGGTCATTTAAAATGTGTGCAGCACTGAGTTACCAGTTGCAAAGCAAACAGAAGGGGCTTCATGGTTCTCATGCTCTAGAAGCTCAGTCGTAAGACCTCATTTCATTCCTACCACTGAATGGTCCTTGATTTTAAGTCATATTAAAGATAATGTACAAATACAGGAGAAAATGGGGGTATACTGACATCAAATGTATTCTCCGCCTATCAAAAAAGGTGTTCTCTTATTTCACGATGAGCAAACTGGTAAAAAATGACTTTATTATCCAAGATAGAACCACAAAATAAGGCCAAGATATAAACAAAAATCTATGCATCTGTCCCTGGAAGTCTTCACAGTTGGGTAATTTCAAATTGTAAGCTTCCATCCTCATTTTAATGAAGAATAGCAAGAGATATAAAAATTTTTCACCATTTTTAAATAGAAAGATATGTAAATATGTCACAACTCATTCGATTGCAAAACAAATCTCCCATGACAACAGTGCAATGGCAAAAAGAATTTTATATTCCCTGACATAAAAGAAAACTGTTTGAAGTAATGAACTGGGCTAAATTTAGCTCTGCTTTCCCATGAATTTAAATGTATAAGGCAATTAATAATCTTCCGACACCTCCCTGTGGCACTAGAGCCTTCCAGGCATTCCTGTGTCTTGTGGTGAGAACTCACAGGCACAGAAGATTTTACGTCTTGGGGGCCTTCTAAGAGCTAAAAGCCATAGGTGGACTAGGTGTGTTAATATGAAGCAATAGCCACATGTCTATACTCTCTTCTCCTTTGTTATGACCCTCATTTCTTTGAAATAGCAGGGAATTACTAGTAAGCTATATATGTCATAAAAGAGCTCATTTGACAAAAACAAAGTAGGGAGAAAAATTAAACAGCTTGTGAACTTGGAGTTGAGACTTATTCTGTTTTTACAATTGCTGCCCATTAAATAGTTACCTAACGAATTCTGAAGTTTGGTGGGACCTCCTGAAGGCCTCAGACACAGTAATTGTGTGCTCCACTCAATCACACACCTATTTGGGAATGTATGGGGAAACCACATGCATGGACTGCTATCTCCAACTGGACTTCCACACTTGGATGATCCATAGCATCACAAAATCAACATATCTAAGCATAAACGCCTCTTATTCACCCCAAAGTCTGTACCTACTCCTGAGTGCTCATTTCAGGGATAGGCCCCAACTACCTACCTAATTACCCCATCCAAACATTTCCACACCCAGCACTGATAAACTCTTTCTATTAAAATAGCAATATTGCCTTTTAATGAATCTCCTCTTCTCTGAACAATGACATGCCTGAGGTCAGTTATTTGTCTTTCTCGTGGAGATTAATGTCGCAAACACTTAAACTGCCTTCCCAGCCTCCTCTAGTCAGTACTGGATGGAAATTTCTTTATAAGTCATATACAGTTTATAGTGTGTGATTTATAATTTTATCTAGAATTCTCTGTCTCCCTAAAGAATCGATCTAAAGAAGTACTGATCATGGTTGCAATATTTTGCACCCACATTCTTCCTGATTTCCTTGATCCCTGTTTCTACCTCATCCATTGTTTTGGTGGTATCAACCATAGTCCAGTTAGTAAAACTAGGTATATTAGTTTATTTAATTACTGTCTGTCTCCTCCACTAAAATGTCAGGAGCTCAAAGACTTTGTATCTTACTCATCACTGCATACTCAGTGTCTAAAAGGTATCTGGTACAATGTATTTATCAGTAAATATCTGACACATAAATAAATAAAAATAAGAAACCTGAGTCATCTTTAATTTTTTTCTCTCTCTTCCATCCCTCTCCATCAACAATAGCCACTCAACCTGTCAGTTCTGCTTTCCAACCACAACCTAAAGGCCTCTCTGTGCTGTTTCCATTCCCACTTTTATTCTCTTGGTCCAGCCCAACCTCCCTCCTGAGGAATCACTGCCACCATCTCCTCTCTGGTCTCTCCGAGTGCAGCCAAGTGGCCTCCATCCTGTTCTCCCCTCTGCAGCCGGAATGAACTTCCTAGGAAACAATGTAGCCCTGCTCAATACCCCAGTGGTTCCCCACCAGGGACTTACAGGGAGCTCCGTAACGCTCCCTGCCTGCCTCTCCAGTCTCATCTCTAAACAGTCCTCAGTCTCTGTTCTGGCTCCTCAAGGTCGTAATTCATTCATATCCACTTGACAATAAAACACATAGAATCACACTCAGCTCACAGGCTGATTTACAGTGTTCATTTTGAGGTCCTTATTTACATATTTCTAGCGTAGCCATCTCTGGGTCAAAAAATCTCTCAGGATTAGCATTAACCAAACACATTTTCTGACATACTGATGTAGATGAATGATCATCCATAAATGTCACTTCTCTCAACCCAACTATTGATTTTTTAAAAATTGAAATCTCTAGCAAGGGCCTGAAGGAAAGTGTATGCTGTTCTCTGAGAATAAACAAAAAATTTTACTTTGAAATCAGAGAATGGTAGTTGGTATGACATCATCTTAAGCATTTTATAGAAGCAAAAAACGGACTCTGGTCTTGTTGTCTATCTCACTCACAGACAGAAGCCCAGGGTCACCCCCAATAATGACAGTGGTGTTTTAAGAACTAAAAACTAGATGGTTAGGGATCCAGATAGACCTAGGAATGGAGGAGAGAAAAACTGCCCTTCTCCATTTGAACCCAGGAGCCCTAAACTAGGCTCGACCACACTTAGATTACACCATAAGTAGCATTCATCACATCAGCAATACTTGAGTGTGCACATGTCTATTCCCCATTCAGACAGGAAGAAACCCTGCATTGGAAGGGATATTGGCAGGGCCACATACACTTGAGGTCATGCACTGCCCAATTCTTGGGTTTGCCATTCACACAACTGTCTCTGGAATGGGGCACAGCACAAATCTGTGTAACCTGCATGGCCTTACTGGGTTTAAGTCAGAATAAAATGGTTCAACTGCTACTTCTCCCACTTACTAGCACTGTCATTTGATGTAAGTCACTTAGTATTTCTAAACCACAGCTCAGAAGTAGGAATGTATATAAAGATACATAAATCATATACATATGTGTATATTTACATGAGCGTATTACCCATAAATAATATATATGAAAACAGTAATCTTAATGCATTATAAAAATAAAGATAATTATTATTCTATGTATCTCCATATATTAGCATTTGAACTATTTTTATATATATTACATCTAATTAAATTGAAATATAAAATGTACTTAATTTTAGGTTTCCATGTACCTAATATTTAGCTTAAATACAAAAATAGAGAGTATATGCTCTTTATTAAGAAATCTATTGCTGCCCTGGCCAGTTCGGCTCAGCAGTGAGAGCGTTGGTCTGCGGTCCAGAGAGACTCGGGTTCAGTTCCCACTAAGGGCATGTACCTTGGTTGTAGTTTGCCCCGGCCCTGGTTGGGTCATGTGGGTGGCAGCCACTTGATGTGTCCCTTTCACATCGATGTCTCTCTCTCTCTCTCTTCCTCTCTCTCCCTCCCGCTCTATCTAAACAAAAAATGAAAAAATGTCCTCGGGTGAGGAGAAAAGAAAACAGAGGGGAGGGGAGGGGAGGGGAGGGGAGGGGAGGGGAGGGGAGGGGAGGGGAGGGGAGGGGAGGGGAGGGGAGGGGAGGGGACATCTATTGCCTGGCTCTCCAGCAGTGACAACCTCCCCAGGACAACATGCCTCTGCTAAGGACCTCCTTCATCCCTCTCCAGGAGAAGAGGAAACACAAGAAGAAGCACCTGGTGCAGAACCCTCTTCCTACTTCCTGGATGTGAAATGTCCAGGACACTATAAAATCACCACTGTCTAGCCATGCACAAATGGTAGTTTTATGTGTTGGCTGTTCCACAGCCCTTTGTCAGCCAACAGGAGGGAAAGCAAGGCTTCCAGAGGATGCTCCTTCAGAAAGAAGCAGCACTAAAAGCACCTGAATCAAGGTGAGTGGGGAACCATCCCAATAAACACATTTTGGATACAAAATAAAAGATCTATTGCCTAAATAAGATCTTCCCATTTTATTAGAATTCATGTAAACTGAATGAAAACAGTCTTACATTAGTAAAGTTTAAAATGGAATAGTACATTTTAAAAAGTATTATTATGAAAATCATACAATATGAATAAGAAAATGATATCTAAAACAATATGAAACTACAAC